GAGAGGACTGCTTGAGCACAGGAGTTGCAGAGCAGCCCAGGCAACATAGTGAGATCCCCCAAAATAAAAAAATTAGCCAGGCATGGTGGCATGCATCTGTAGTCCCAGCTACCTGAGAGGCTGAAGTGGGAGGATTACTTAAGACAGGGAGGCCAAGCTGTGGTTGTACCACTGCACTCCAGCGTGGGTGACAGAGTGAGACCCTGTCTCAAAAAAAAAAAAAAAAAAAAAAAAAAAAGCTGTGCGCAGTGGCTCACACCTGTAATCCCAGCACTTTGGGAGGTCGAGGTGGGCGGATCACCTGAGGCCGGGAGTTTGACATCAGCCTGACCAACACGGAGAAACCCCATCTCTACTGAAAATTCAAAATTAGCTGGGCTTGGTGGCGCATGCCTGTAATCCTAGCTACTCGGGAGGCTGAGGCAGAATAGCTTGAACCTGGGTGGTGGAGGTTGCGCTGAGCTGAGATGGCGCCATTGCACTCCCGCTGGGCAACAAGAGCAAAACTGTGCCTGGAAAAAAAAAAGAAAGTTTTTTTTTAAACAAAAAAACCATTAATCTTTTTTTTTTTTTGGATGTAGAGAGAAAAATTTAAGGCATCTTGTCCATAATTTTCCACTTTACATTGCAGTTATAAATTAATTTGGGGAAAAGTAGAAAAAAATAAAACAATCCAGATCTGAAACTAAGATAACTGTGATTTAAATGTATCTTGAGCAGTTTTTAGATGATAACTATTATTAGCTACCTTAGAGGTTTTACCTACAGATTAATTCAGTGGGAAGAAAATATTGAATACTAAAGCACAAGTCGTTGCTCTGGGAACTTCCATGCATTTCTCTATTTCATGCAAATAAAGAGACAGGTTTTATTATAATTATTAGTGCATTTTTCACATAGGGAAAATTGAAGATCAGAGTGGGTAGGTACTTTTTGCAAGGACACAAATTGTTGGAAGGAGCCTATACCTGTCTGATGTTAAAACCTATGCTTTTTTTCTACGACACAGGGGCTGAAATACAGACACAAGCACAGTTAAAATATCTTCTTTGTCATCAGCTTACTTTTTGATCTCTATAGTTCTTATCCAATATTGAGAAATGTTGACTATAATATTTTTGTGGTAATTGTGGTGTGGATTACTTCAGCTTAGGAAAATGTCTTTTAAAAGTTGTGACTAGATAGCTTTTAATAAAATATTTCACAAAAAGTGTCAGATACTATCAGAAGACTTCAGGGTAGTTCCTTAAACCTTTGAATAAAACAAAAACAAAACTTCGGTGAAGGTTAAAAATGGTTATCTTTTATTCAACATTCACTATATACATCGGGCATTGTGTTAAGCAACTTAAATGTGTTAAAGTTTCACAGCTGGGCCAGGTACAGCAGCTCATAACTGTAATCCTAGCACTGTGGCAGGCCAAGTGGTGCACTGTCTGAGTTCAGGAGCAAGAGACCAGCCTGCGCTACATCGTGAAACACCATCTCTAGTAAAACACAAAAAATTAGGGGGCTGTGGTGATGCACACCTGCAGTCTTAGCTACTTGGGCAGCTGAGGCACTAGAATTGCTTGAACCAAGGAGGCAGAGGTTGCAGTGAGCTGAGATTGCATCACTGCACCTCAGCCTGGGTGACAGAGTGAGACTCTATCTCCAAAAGTTTCACAGCTGGGCAAGGTGGCTCACACCCAGCACCTTGGGAGACTGAAGTGGGAGGATCTCTTGAGTCTAGGAGTTAGAGTAGCCTGGACAATACAGCGAGACCCCCTCTTGATTAAAAAAAAAATTTTTTTTTTAAGTTTCACAGCAGCCCTATGAGGAGTACATACTTATTGTCCTCATTTTACAGATGTGAAAACTGAAACATAGGATGGCTAAGTGACTTATCCAAAGTTGCACAGTCATTAGGTAGTAGAATGGGGACAGAACAGGCTGACTCCAAAGCCACACCTCTAAGCCTCTAGGCTACACTGCTATAAAAACCTATCAAATGAAAATCATGGGAGATAGAGAAAAAAGGACCTTTCATTTTAGCATATGCGCTGCCAAAGGGAGCACGAGAAAAGATGCTGCAACAGAAAGTTTGGCATGGTCCAAGATCAGTGACAGGGTCACCATCTATTGCAATTAAATTAGACGAGTTAACTATATTGTATGATTTTGGAATATAAGAGAGGAAAATGTGAAAAGTTCAAAGGTGGCTGGGTTGGGTGGCTCACACCTGTAATCCCAAAACTTTGGGAGGCTGAGGCAGGTGGATCATTTGAGGTCAGGAGCTTGAGACCAGCCTGACCAACATGGTGAAACCCTATCTCTACTAAAAATACAGAAAAATTAGCCAGGAGTGGTGGCACATGCCTGTAGTCCCAGCTAATCTGGAGGCTGAGGCAGGAGAATCGCTTGAAACCAGGAGGTGGAGGTTGCAGTGAGCTGAGATAGCACCACTGTGCTCCAGCCTGGGCAACAGAGTGAGACTCTGTCTGAAAAAAAAAAAAAAAAAAAAAGGAGAAAAGCTCAAAGGTATCTTCAGGTCAGTCACCTTCTATCCCTTTTCTCATTTTCTTTTCTTTATAGCTTTCACTTACCAATTATTTACTATTGATAAGTGAAATTGTTTTATTACTAATAATTTTATTAGTAACATTTTATTACTAATAAAATACTTTACTAGTAAAATTATTTTATTACTAATCATTTACCTCACCTCACTACACCATAACTTCAATAAAATCAAGAACTTTGTCTTTCTTACTAAATGCTGTATTTCTGAAGTTGTCCCTAACATAAATATTTATTGAATGAATGCATAAATGTCTGGCCTTCCCTGGACTCTAACGGCAAAGACTTAGATTTACAAACTGGTTCAAAAGACTGTATTACAAATGCATACATTATTAGCAATTTTTCATTGTTTAGTTTCTTAGATTGGCTAGGATACACTAAAAAAAGAAGAGGGGGAAAGAGCATATGTACTGGCAATGATAAGCCCTAAGTTATAGGGGTCAGGGGGTAGTGGCAGGGGTGAAACCTAAAAAATCCAGAGCCTTAGTGCCTGAAGTGATGAAAATGGTTGAGGTTCCTGGTGTAGGATAAAAACCATCACAAAAACTAAATTCTCAATTTTGTCTTAGAAATTCTGCTACCATAAACATTTATGGAAAGAAAGTGAAAGTTAAGTAGTTCATTTTAATATGCTAATTACTTTGCATTGTACATATAGCTTTGATTAGAATGCAACATTCCTGAAGTTCTTATTGAAATTAACGTGTGTCAAATTTATGTTCAAACTGAGCACTGGTCTACATTGTTTATGTATAGTGGGTTCTTCCTGAAGATTCATTATTGTTGCTATTATACTCCTTGTTAGCATTACATCAGTGTTGAGGAGGGTGTATAGGAATAGGCTGAGAACAACAAAAGAATCACATATGAAAAACGAAAATGAATGAATAAACAGAGGTATCTGCAGTGTAGAGTGGGAAAGGCAATGTCAATGAGGTTCTGGAGGGCCAAAGAAAACACTGTCTCCCCTAAAATGTAAGATACAGTTGCTAAATGTGTGGATTAAAACAGAGGATTCTAGACAGTTTGAAGTTAAAAAATGCAAGATTTAGAGGTTCTTAAACTTCTTGGTCTTAGGATTCCTTTACACTCCTTTAAAAATTGAAGACCCCAAAGAACTTTTATGTGCATTATTAATACTGATATTTATGTTAGAAACTAAAATTGAGAAATTGGCTGGGCTCGGTGGCTCACACCTCTAATCCCGCCCCCAAAGAACATTTATGTGGATTATTGACACTGATATTTATGTTAGAAATTAAAACTGAGAAATTGGCGGGGAGCGTTGGCTCATGCCTGTAATCCCAGCATTTTGGGAGGTCAAGGCAGGTGGATCACCTGAGGTCAGCAGTTCAAGACCAGCCCAATACATTTTTGTATTAAAAATTTGTATTTTTACCGTGGTGACGGGTGCCTGTAATCCCAGCTACTTGGGAGGCTGAGGCAAGAGAATCGCTTGAACCCAAGAGGCAGAAGTTGCAGTGAGTCGAGATCGCGCCATTGCACTTCAGCCTGGGCAACAAGAGTGAAACTCTGTCTCAAAAAAAAAAAAAAAAGAAAAGAAAACAACAACAACAACAACAAAAAAAGCAATCAAATGTTAAGATAATTTTTATATGAAAAATAACTACCCCTCTTGCCCCCAAATCGAGTTTTTGCAAATCTCTTTAACATCTGGTTTAACTGCAGATGACTGGATTCTCCTATCTGCTTCTATTTTCAGTCTGTTTCCTTATCACATGTCATGTAGCCTCCGGAAAACCCCACTGCACACTTGTTGAGAGAATGAGAATGCAAAAGGCAGTCTTGACATTAACATGGAAATAGTTTTGGCCTTCCCCTTGAAAGGGTCTGGGGACCCTCAGACCACACTTTGAGAACAACTTTTTGAGTTAGTCAATTTATCATCCCTTGAAAATTAGCTATGAGGTTTCACAAACCAGAGGATTTAATGGGATTTACCTTTTTCAGAAAGATGAAACAACGGACATACTGAGTGTCCTCATTATAACACATCCAGAGAATGCACAAATATGCCATTTTCATCCGTCAAATGAACTGAAGCCGAACTGAGGAGACAGAGTGTCAGGTAAAAGGATGTGGGGGTGGGGGTAGGGATGACGAGCACCCTCTAAAGGCGCGGAGACCCGCTGGCACAGGAGAAGCAAAACCGGCAGAAGCGGCCGCCGAAGCAGTCTAGAGGAAAGAACTGTTTTTCTTAAGCAGGGAGGTAAAATGGTTACCGGGGGCCGGCGTGTTGCTGGAATTAGGCTCTGACGAGGAGGGCCCGGCGCCTTGGCTGCGGCGAGCGAGGGACCAGGCAACTGGCGCCCGCCGTCCGCGCTCGCCGCAGCACCCCGAAGGGGGTGGGCCAGGCCCGGCGCCGGGCACCCGGGTCAGGCCTTCCCCACAACTGATGGGAATGAGATTTCCTTTCCGGCTCAGCGGGTAGAAATGAGACGGTGGGATGCTTAGCAGAGGAGGTTACACACCGGAGGGAACTAGGGAGCCCAGCCGCGGCGCCTGAGCCTCGGGGCGGCAGGAGCCTTCAGCTGGGGTATGGAGGTCGCCCGGGAAGAAGGACGGTTCAGTTGCTAGGCAACCCGGCCTGGACCCGCCTCTCGCTGGCGTTGCTGGGAGACGACGAGGCCGGGGGAGGGCGGCGAGAGGGCCCTACGTGCTGACGCTAATTGTATATGAGCGCAAGCGGCGGGCTCTTGGGTCTTTTTTAGCGCCATCTGCTCGCGGCGCCGCCTCCTGCTCCTCCCGCCGCCTCCTGCTCCTCCCGCCGCCGCTGCTGCCCTGAGTCACTGCCTGCGCAGCTCCGGCCGCCTGGCTCCCCATACTAGCCGCCGGTAACGGATAGGGGCCTGGAAGGGATGGGGGAACGTGGAGTTGGCTGGGCGGCCTGCGCAAATGGGAGGGCCGGAGGGATGGAGGGACTGGGAGCCTGGAGTCGGGGCCGCTGGCCGCCTGAGGCCTCTGGGGTTGTCCAGTGAGGTCGGAGTGGACCGCGGAGTCCCGACCCTGCCGCCCCAGGGCCGATCAGCGCTTTTGTCCCGGATGGCTGAAGCGACGTGGGGGTCGGCGCGGCCTGAAGTTCTCTGAGCCCCACCGTCTTTTCCGCGTGGACCGGAGCGAGGCCGCGGCTACGCCCGGGTGCTCTGAGAGTGGGCCGCGCCGCGAGGGATCGGGAGGCCCCCGGCGTACTGGCCGGGCCGAGTACAGAGCTGGCTGCCTCTTCGACGCCCCCCTGCTTTTCCCTAAAAAATAATACGGGGAGGGAGGCCGCTGGGAGATGAAAAGAACGGCGGAGGCTGCGAATTCCGACGGGAGGGAGGGGTTGCGGAGGGACAAGGCCCGGAGGCGGGGAGGGGGCGGGGGAGGCTGCGAAGCTCCCGGGCTCTCCGCCCACTGGGGGCGGCCACGCGGGGAGGGGAAACCCCCGGCGGCTTCCATCCACACGTGGGAATGCGCTGCGTGGCCGCCGGCTGGGCCTGGTTGGAGACCCTTGCCCTCGGGCTAACCTTACTTTGAAAGTTGCAGAGACAGTGGAATGTGAAAAGGAAGAGTGAGCTAGTAAGCCGTGTCCCTGGGTTTCAAACTCTTCCCTGCTTCTCTTTGGTCTTGATCTTTTTATTGGTACCCGAGGAGAGAGTGGATGTTAGCTGATGGTGAGCAAGGGCCTCCGCTGCTAGTGCTTTAAAAAGTTAACACGTGTATAGCGCTTATGTTAACTGTTAGTAGCAAAAACTTGTAATTGTGTATCCTAAGTAGACTTAGATGGGTGTCTTCATCAGGGCTTTTTCTTTGGGGAGTATTGATCCTAATCGAGTTAAACTCCTAAACCAAGCTTGTCCAACCGCGGCCCAGGACGGCTTTAAATGTGGCCCAACACAAATTCATAAGCTTTCTTAAAACATGAGGGTTTTTTTTTTTTTTTTTGAGATTTTCTTTTTTTTTTTCTGAAAGGAGCTAAGCCTTGAAGCATTCTCACTCTCTCTCTCTCTCCTTCCTTCCTTCCTTTCTTTCTTTTCTTTTCTTTTTTCTTTCTTTCTTTCTTTTTTTTTTTTTTTAAAGCTCATCAGCTAGTTAGTGTGTTTTACGTGTGGCCTAAGACAGTTCTAGCGTGGCCCAGGGAAGCAGAAGATCGAACCACCCCTGCAAACGGTTCTTAGATGAAAATAAAAAGTTTGGTCCTTTATAGCTTTAATTGTTCTTGGCTTTCTTACAAATTACTTCCTTTATTGAAGTGACTAGAATAAGATACTTAACTGTTTTCTTTTTAAGATGGATGGAATGAGTATAAACTTAGCCAAGTTTGTAGCCTTCGACCTTGTCAATGAACCTCACTCCCCTAAAATTTCGGGGATGGCAGTGTAGGAAGGCTGCGACTGAGGTCCTATCTGGGAAGGCTGGACTTTAAAGTACAAAACGGAGGAACCAGGCACAGGATGTCCTCAAGGGGCCCCTATTTTAGACGGTCACTGGTGATAAGTTAGTTTTCAAACAACTACATTTTAAAATCTCACCACTATATTTTAAGGTATCTCACGGCTGCATTTTTAAATTTACACTGCTTGCCTGGTTTCAGAAGAGCTGTAAAAAGAAATTTGGCTTTTTGAAAATAGATGGATTCAAAACATCTTTGGAAAGGAGTATCTGGGTCCTCTTTTTTTTGGTTCTTTTAAATTAATACTCCTATTCTTAGTTTGGAGCTAATACACATTACCTTTGATTGAACAAAGGGAAAACCTTTCATGTATAGGGTACCATTTAAAAATCAACGAGAAATAAGTGAATTTTAGTTATCTTCAAGGGACTCTCGTATTTCAAGCTTGTTTGAAGTTGCCCAAGTTTAAATAAATGGCCTAAACCTAAACTATAGTTCTAAGAATACTGTCCTTTGGAGAATATATGGAACTAAACCTTAGTAGGTGGACTTGGACATCTTCTGTCATAAAACCTTGACTCATAGATTCTCCTTCCAGGTCAGCATTGTTTATTTAATGAATAGAAATTTAAAAGTTTTCACTCTACCAATTTGAAAATCTAAATCTACTACAAAATACCTATTTTTATATTAGGCCCATTAATTTTTCAGAATTATAAAGCTAATACTGAATGTGGCAAATGACTGTGCTTGGCCTTTAATGAAATTTTTGAAAAGAACACCTGTACCATAACTAATGTAGTCCAAAATGCCATCCCTCACTTTATTCAACCTTGCCTCTGTTAGCTCCTGGTGACTAAATTGATTCTAAATTTCTCAAAATATGGTCAAGACACAGGGTCTTTCTGTAGGAGAAGGGGCTAAAGAAGAAATATCTGTTGGACTTCAAAGGTCTGAAGATGTCAAATACAGTATTTTATTCACTCTTGTTGTAAATTTAAAACAGGATTAGAGCAGATGAATCCTCATCAATATTAACATATTAATGATCAGTGTATTCAGATCTTAAAGTTTAATCAGACCCGTAATTACTTGTGTTCTCAGTTTATTTGAGTAACTAGCACCTGTATGGACATGTGTCAGGTATCATGAGCAAAAGAGGCAAATTGGTTGCTTAGATATGAAATGTTAAATTGTGATGAGGGCTGTGAAGGAAGAAAAGGGTAAAGGGGGGCATAGAGTAATACAACGTTTACACAAAGGAACCTGTTATGATTGATGACTTTAAGTTCCATTTCAAGCTAATTTCATCTAAATAAGTTTTTGGGCAGTGTAGAGGTTAGAAGGAGAGAGTTGTTGCTTTACACCTATCCATGCTTAAGTCCTTTATTTAACACAATGACTGCAGAACATTAGAGTATATTACTGGGCTTGCTGTAGAAAGTGGCTTTTATACATTTGGTTACCAACTCTGCCTTTTACTTCCTAAATATTTGTATACATTTTTACCTATTCAGAAGTTTTGTACATTTTGATTTTTATTGGGAAACAGGGTTTTATATATATTTTTTCCTTGTGGAGACAGGCTCTTACCATGTTGCCCTGGCTGGTCTTAAATGCCTGGCCTCAAGCAATCTTCTTGCCTTGTCCTTCCAAAGTGCTGAGTTGAGAGGTGTGAGCCACCACACCTGTCTAGAGTTGCAATTTTGGCCTTGGAACTATTTTCTAAAGAGGGTGCAGAAGAGCATAATGGGTAAATAATGTAATAGCACTTAGTGATTATTCAGGTGTTACTTTAAATTCTGTGTGTACTATTAGTTCATTTAATGTACTTAGAGACAGATAGCTTCAACATTTTAACAGGGAAATAGGTACAGAATGGTAATAACCTCTCCATGGTTACGTACATGAGCAGTGATAACTTATGATGAGATAATTTTTACCCTGGCTTTGAAAGAAAGTTGACTTTCACTGTTCTGCTTTAAATCAGCATATTAGTCCATTTTCCGTTGCTTAGAATACCTGAAACGGGGTAATTGATTAAAAAGAATTTATTTCTTGCAGTTGTAGAGGCTGAGAAATCCAAGATTGAAGGACTACATGTGAGAACTTTGCTTGTGGGGACTCTGAAGGTTCCCAAGGCAGCACAGGGTATCACATAGGGAGGGGGCTGAGCATGCTAACAAAGTAGCTCAGATCTCCAGTTACCCTGGTGGGAAACTGGGTAATTTATAAAGAAATACATTAATCTGTGAATGGATTAATTCCTTTGTGAGGGAAGAGCCCTCATGATCCAATCACTTCTTAAAGACCCCACCTCAGTGCTGTCACATACAGGCTCAAATTTCAACATGAGTTTTGGAGGGGACAAATACACTATAGCAGCATAGAATTCAGAAGCACTCCTCCTTGTATCCCAGTGTGCTCTAGGGAAAAGCCATGTAGCAGTTATGGTCATGAAGTCTTCTTCCAACATAGAATTTGTTTATATATACAGTTATGCTTGGCTAATGATGGGGATATGTTCTGAGAAATGCATCATGAGGCCATTTCATCCTTTTGTGAATGTCATAGAAATGTACTTGCACAAACCTAGATGGTACAGCCTACTACATACATAGGCTATATGGCATAGCCTGTTGTTCCTAGGCTACAAACTGGTGTGGCATGTTGCTGTGTTAGGCAGTTTTAACTTTTTTTTTAATGAGTTGGAGTGGACTCTAATGACAAAAAGCATAGTATAGTAAATAAGCCAATAAGTTGTTTATTATCCTTATCAAGTCTCATGTACTGTACATAATTGCATGTGCCATACTTTTATATGACTGTGCAGTAGGTTTGTTTATACCACCATCACCACAAACATTAATAATGAATTGAGCTGTGACATTACTAGGCAGTAGGAATGTTTCAGCTCCATTATAATTTTGTGGGACTACCGTTGTACATGCAATGCTTTGTTGACTGAAATGTTATGTGACTGTAGTTGGGTAACGATTTCTTAGCATTATGTCTGCCCTATATATCCAATCAGTTCAGTCAATCGTCTCCCATCTTCAGTGGAAGGTTTTGTTTTTAGTTTGTTTTAGGAAGGAGGATTTGCATTCAGGAGATCAGGTGTGGTGGCTGTCACCTGTAATCCCAGCACTTTGGGAGGCCAAGGCGGGAGGATTGCTTGAGCCCAAGAGTTCCAGACCAGCCTAGGCAACATATTGAGACACTCTGTCTTTTAAAAAGAATTAAAACAATTAGCTGAGTGGGGTGGTGCACACCTGTAGTCCCAGCTACTCAGGAGGCTGAGGTGAGAGAATCACTTGAGCCTGTGAGATCAAGGCTGCAGTGAGCTGTGATGATGCCACTGCACTATAGCCTGGGCAACAGAGCAAGGCCCTGTCACAAAAAAAAAAAAAAAAAAAAAAAAAAATAGCCTTCAAGTATGTTTTTAGGGTCAGTTTTTTCTTT